AGGTGGTGTTTGCCAGGTTCTTCCACTGTTATTATTTTTCTCCTTTCAATTAATAAATATCTTGAGGTAGATACTTTGAGAATATTCAAATATTCTGTTTCTCCTCAAACTTTCATCCACTTTTTAAGCAAATATCAGTAGATTTTGCCTGCATTAGTTATTACTTGCTCTTCTAATGATGGTTTTCTTTTTCATTTCTTCTACATTTATTAATTGGAATTTCTCTGTGAGAAAGGGCAGTTCCTTCTCTTTCATTTATTTATCTATTTAGTTATTTATTACTACCCATATAAACTCATTCACTTTTATTTTGTGGGTTATAATCCAATGCTACAGTTATTTATTTTGTTGTGCAATTGTTCCAGTTTGGGCCATTAGTAGCCCTCTCAGGTGACACTTATATCCTTTCAACATGTCCCTGTGTTCCCTTGGGCTCTTCCTTACTTCCTGGCACCATAAAATGTTCTAGGTTCATCTTAAATTTTTCCCATGCCAACCCTATAATGACACTAATTATGGCTTGGGTTCTCTGATTGGAGAATGGTATTTAGAAACCAAGATGTGGACAGTGGATATGCTCATTGCTACTGGGGTGGCCTTGCTTCTGAACATGCATTGTTTTTGCCATTTGTACCTTTCTCCTGGATCATGACATTCAGAATATCCATTCATTTTTAAAAAATAAATGCATTTAAAGGTATGTTTTCCTCTGAATACTTTAATATATAGTGTTTTCATTATCATTTGTTGCTTAATAGTTTATGATCTCCATTTTTATTTCCTCTTTGGCCCAAAGTTCATTAGATATATGTTTCAGTTTCCATGTATATAGATTTTTACTACCTTTTTGTTTTAAAATGTTCATGTAATTTTGTTGTGGGCAATGAATGTGGACATGTATATTTTTTCTTTTTGAGAACATATTAAAATTTCAATTGTGGCTGATTACATTATCAATTTTTATGATTATCTGTTTAGAAAAAAATTATTATTAGATATATGTTCCAGTTATATCCCTACATCAAGCTTGTTAATCAGGTTATTCAAATCCTCAATATCTTTAACTGTTTTTCATGTCATTGTCCATTTCTGTGAGAAATGTGTTAATATATCATTATTTGTTTTTATTGGACTTTTCTTTACATATTTTGAAGTATGTTTTGGTATACAAAAGTTCATGATTATTATTTTTCTTGGTGGATTGGAAATTTTATGAAAGTGAAAGGGTTGACCCATTTAATGTTTTGCTATTATTAATATTAATATACATTTAATTATTTTAAAGCATCTGTCTTGTATATATTTTCCTAAACTTTGATTTTATACATTCCTTATAGAAACTGGATAAATTGTCCTTTAAATGCTTCATTCATAAATATGAATAGACAACAAAAGATCTTCAGACTTTTTTCTACAGTTATAATTTTATTTTGATTCTTTAAAATTTCATTTTCAGTTACAGTTGACATTAAATATTATTTTATATTAGTTTCAGCTCTACAGCATAGTGGTTGGACAACCATATAATTTGCAAAGTGATCCTCTGATAGTTCAAGTACCCACCTGGCTATTACATAGCTATTACAATACTATTGACTATATTTTCTATGCTGTGCTTCACATCCCTGTGACTATTTTGTAACTTACCAATTTGGGCTTCTTAATGTCTTTACTTTTTTTCACCTGGCCGTCTCCCCTCTGGCAACTATCAATCTGTTCTCTGTGTCTATGAGTCTGTTTTAATTTGTTTGTTCGTTAACTTTGTTCATATAGTATTTGTCTTTCTGTCTCTGACTTATTTCACTTAGCATAATATCTTCTAGGCTCATCCATGTTGTCGCAAATGGTAAAATTTCTTTTTTGTGTGACCAAGTAATAATTCCATTTCATGCATGTACCACCACTTTTTCAAATCCACTTGTCTATTGGTGGGCACTTGGGTTACTCCCATATATTGGCTACTGTAAATAATGCTGCAATGAACATAGGGGTGCATATATTTTTTCAAATTAATTTGTTTGGTTTCTTTGAATATATATCCTGAAGTGGAATTGCTGGGTTGTAAGGCAGTTCCATTTTAAACTTTTTAAGGAACCTCCATTCTGTTTTGCACAGTGGCTGCACAAATCTGCATTCCCACCAACAGTGTACAAGGGTTTTTTTTCCCTCCACATCCTCATCAACACTTGTTTGTTGATTTATAAATGATAGCCATTCTGACAGGTGTGAGGTGCTGTCTCGTGGTTTTAGTTTTCATTTCTCTGAGGATTAGTGATATTGAGCATATTTTCATATGTCTATTGGCCATTGTATGTCCTCCTTGGAGAAGTGTCTGTTCAGGTCCTCTGCCCATTTCTAAATTGGATTGTTTGTTTTTTGGATGTTGAATGGTATTAATTCTTTATAAATTTTGAATATTAACCCCTTATCACTGGTGAATATCTTCTCCCATTTACTAGGTCATCTTTTCATTTTGTTGATGGTTTCCTTTACTGTGCAAGACTTTTTAGTTTGACGTAGTTCCATTTGTTTAGTTCTTCTTTTGTTTGTGATATATCAGAAAAAAATATTGCTAAGAGAAATGTCAGAGTTTACTGTCTATTTTTTCTTCTAGGAGTTTTATGGGTTTAAGTCTTTCATTTGAGTAAGGATCTTCATGTTTTTAAGGGAAGCCTTAGATATGAAAGACAAAAGCAAAACAAAGGAAAAAAAACAATGTGGTGAGCTGCAGAAAACTTTAAAAATACACTCTACTTGATATACTGTATATTCAAAAAGGCAAGAAATTGTACTCACAAAATAAGAACAAGGGGTAGTAAAATGGCAACCTTACCTTACTAAGAATTGTAATTAAAATATGATAGCTGAAATTAAAATTTTTAGGCAGGATGGAAAATAATGAAAGTGGAACAAAATGTCAAAATTGGTAAGATGATAAAGAAAGGTTAAGAAAATCTGAAGATATTTCCAAGAGATCTCACATCCAAAACAAAAGAAAAATGTTCCAAAAAGAAAACAGAGAAAATGGAGGAAGAGGGAATTATACCTCCTAGCAGAAAATTCTTGGAACTAAAGAACATCAGTTTTCAAAGCAAATACCATGTGCCCAGCACGGTGAGGATAGCAAAAGACTAACATGAGGATATATTGTGATCAAATTTACAATACAAAGTAAAAGAGAAAGATTTCAAAGCTTCTGAATCGAGGTAGATGTGGAGTATGGAGGGCCTTCCATGTATCATTCAGAGCAGCAAGAATTAAAACGTCACTGGCCTTCTCAGAAGCAGCAGTGGAAGTTAGGAAACAGTAGAACTGTACCCTGATTTTATATTGAAGAATATTTTTCTCATTTGTAATTCTAAATCCAGCCAAAGTGTCCAGTCTAAGATAAAAGAAAGACAATTTCAGCTACTCAAGTTCTCAAATGTATCTCCCAGTGCACAAAACGATCCTGGAGGGCTTATTCCACTTCAAAGGAGTAAACCAAGAAGGAAGACTTTTGAACCAGAATGCAGATCTCACATGAAAGAGTCCCTGAAATGATACGGGAGTGGAGTCCTCTGATGACAGTTGCATAGTCAAACCAGAGCATAACCCAGACTAGAGCAGGGGAATGGAGAGCTCTAGGAAGGCTGTCTTCTGGAAAAGAAATGATATGGAAGGATTATCTAGTGGCTGTCAAGGTACTGAGAGAAGAGAATCAGACCTGTCAGATTCACAAGAAGTATCAGTGGTAGGCACACAGAGAACTGAGAAAGAAGAAAAGGAGATGGTCTTTAATCCAGGGGGCAACAAAACATGTACAAGAAAAGAAATGTGATCATGGCATAACATGTGGCTCATTAGTGAAGAATAATGTAATTACTGAATAAAAGATTGATCTGTATTGGGAGGATGAGGAGAGGAATGCTGCATGTGTATGTACAGGAGTGTAGGCGTGTAGATATGTGTAGGAAGGTCAACTTTCATTAGGATTGTGGTAGTGACTGCTGGCTGCCTACCCTAATATTCATTCTCCCTTGCTCCTTAGTAATAGAACTGTGGATATATATTTGGGGACTAATCTTCCCAGTTAAAACTACATTTCCCAGCTTCATTTGCAGTTAGGTATTGCCATGTGTCTAAGTTTAGCAGAAGTATTTAATGGTGCTTCCAGAAATCTTAAAAGACACGGAGTGAGCCATTATTCTCTTCCAGTGGTCTGGGATGGGAAAGTAATTGATGGAATTTCTGCCATTATCATGGTCTATAAAAATAAAATACATGCACCAAAGATGTAGAACAGAGAGTTGGAAGGATCCTGAGGCCTTGATGGCACTATAAAGCTACCATATTAACATTAGACTGGCTACTAGTACATTGGTTTTATGCAAGATAATACACTCTTGTATCTTAAGCCATCATATTCAGGTCTCAGTTATATGTAGCAGAACCATATCTTAACTAAATTGCAATTTACTAGATAATACCTAAAGTGAAATATTAATAACAGTACAAGCATAGTATTTAATTATAGAAGTAAATATAAATAGGAAGTTGAAAGTAGTTGGTTTGGGCAGTGGGAATTGGGGTAAAGGTCAAGGATCACTTTTTTCTTATAACTTTTAATTTAATAATTGACATTTTAAGTTATCTATATCTTACTTGAATAAAAATAGGTTTATATTCCTTTGGTTACATTTAACTTCCTATTTCAAGTAAAAATACGTGTTCATTGTAAAAATTCAAACAGTACAAAAGATAGAGAGGAAAAGTTATAACTCCCTTGAGTGTTCTTTGCCTGTCCACTGCCCATCAGTTTTACTGTCCTCCTCAGGGGTAATGGCTGTTTGATATGTGTGTCTCCATACTTTTTCTATGCACTCATTAAGTATATATAGAGATGCACAGTTTTCTTCTTTTATTTATTTTTATTTAAAGTGTATTTAAATATTAATTTAAGAAAGTATGCATGAGGAAATACTTAGGCTTGTAATAGATGTTGTTTGTCTATATTTTAGAATCCAAGCTGGAAGCATGCAGTTAAAAAATCAGCAAAATGAAATTCAAAGACTACAGAAAGAGCTGAATCATTTACAACATGAGTTAAATATTAAACAGAGACAATCACAGGTCTTCAGGTAAGATTATCTTTACTTAATTGAAAATTATAAAGGTTGAAAAGATACATTTAATACTAACTTTATAAACATTCAAACACAATGTGGTAGTTTAGTTTCTATATTCGGTGTGGTTGAAAAAAATTGAAATAACTTCACTTGGTTTTTGGTGGTTTTTTTTTTTTGTTTTTTTTTTACCATGATCACAACTGAATAGTTTTACCAATAAAATTTAAGTCAGGCAATTTAAGTTCTTATTTTGCCTTGACTTTCAGATTGAAAACACATTAAATAATACATTTTCCCTTTGACCAGTATTTCTTGGTGTGTTTTATTTCCGGGCATAAAAAAAAATAATAGAATAGTGAAACTTTCTAAATTTAGCAATGAAAATGCTAAATTTAGAAATCTTCAACATAAATGGCATTAATTCTGCTTGTATATAGTCTTTGGAGGTTTATGATACCTAAAGTTAAAATCCAATGTTCTAAAGTACATTTTCTTTTCTAACTCTAAAAGGGAATTTAATATAGAGAGAATATTAGAAAGAATGAATTTTTAAATCGAGTAACTTTTTAGCTCTTAGAAAAGGAAAGTAAGTTAAGTGAACATTACAAATGGACACAGGGTCAGGATGACTAAAAATATGCTGGATGAATGTTTTAAACATTAGTTTCTTTTTCTTTTTTTCTCATCTACTACTTATTGCCAGAAACATTGTTCTATTTTCAAAAATTTGGGGGGCTAATAATTTTTTTTGACTTTTTATTTTTATTTATTTATTTATTTTTAATTGAATTTATTGGAGTGACATTGGTTAATAAAATTACATAGGTTTCAGGTGTTCTATTCTATAATACAACATCTATGTTTTTTTAATTTTTTTATTGCTTAAAGTGGGGGGCTAATAATTTTTTTAAAAATTGATTTTAGAGAGAGTAACGGGGAGAGACAGAGAGAAACATCCATGTGAGAGAGAAATATTGATTGGTTGCCTCCTGCATGTGCCCCGATTGAACCTGCAACCTGGGTATGTGCCCTGATTGGGAATCAAACCCACCACCTTTTTGTGTAGGGGACGACACTCCAACCAACCAAGCCACACCAGCCAGGGCTGGGCTAATAATCTTTTATACACCACCTGGTGATAACCTGCTGGCTATATTTACCTTTCATAAATGCCTTGCACATGCATGATGCTCAATAAATAATCTTTGAAAAAATAAATGAGTCTACTCACAAAACAGGTGACCATTTTTGTCTTCTCTGCTGTTTCCTAGAAATCTGGTATTGAGCCAGCAGTTGAACCCAACTCGCCATTTTCATCAGGATGATCAGTATTCAAGCTTGGCTTCTACAATAGCTTTGGCACAAGTCTTCTAAGTTACCTATATTTACTTTTAAAAGATTCATATTAATCTTTCAAAAATTGTTTGAAATATAAAGTACTTATCATTTTTCTTATTTGCAAATCTATTTAGACTCTGTCATCTTTGAAATTTTTCATGCCAATTCCCAAAAATCTCTCCTCATAGCTCTCTTACTTTCAAGTCAACTCTTCAGCCTCATTAAGGTTTCCAGTATTTTTCTCTGATTTTTCCCAACTATTTTTTGGCTTTTTTGTTTCTTGTCTTAATCCCATAGTTAAATCACTTGACTTTTTAAAAAGCAGCTTTATTGAGACCTAATTGCATACTATAAAATACACACATTTTAAGTGGCAATGCAATGATTTTTAGTAAACTTACTGAGTTGTGCAACCCACAGAGATCTTCATGCCATTTGCATTTAATCTCTGGTCTTACCACCAGGCTTGGCAACCTTCTTCCTGTTTCTATAAATTCGCACTTTTCGGGACATGTCAGATATGTGGAATTATATCATATGTGGTCTTCTACATCAGGCTTCTATCACCATGTTTTTGTGAGTTATTCATGTTGTATCATGCATCAGCACTTTGTTTCTGTTTTTATTGTTTTAATAGTTTCCATTGTGTGGATATACCACATTTTACTCACCCATTTACCAGTTGGTGGACTTTTGGGTTCTTCCCACTTGACACTTAGGAATAACGCTACTGTACAAGTCTTTGGATGTATGTTTTATTTCTTTTGGGTCAATCCCTAAGTGTGGCATTACTGAATTATACAGTAAATTTAAATTTAGCTTTCTAAGAAACTGCCAAGCTATTTTCCATGTGGCTGCACCAGTTTATAGTCCCACAAGGAACGAGGATTATAGTTCCTCTGAATTCTTGCCAACACGTCTATTGTCTGTCTTTTTTATTATAGCCATCCTAGTGGGTGTGACATGATATTTCATTGCAGCTTTGGTTTGTGTTTCCCAAATGACCAGTGATGGTGAGCACCTTTTCTTGTGCTTATTAACCATTTGCATATTGATTTGGTGAAATATCCATTAAAATAATTTGCCTAGTTTGTCAATGGTCTGTTTTCTTATTATAGGATTGTAAGAGTTCTTTATGTTTTGGGTGAAGTCCTTTATTTGAAGTATGATTTACAAATATTTTCTCCCAGCCTATTCATGTTTTCATTTTTGTAACAGTCTATTTTGATGAGCAAAAGTTGTTATTTTTAATAAAATAAAATGTATCAATGTTTTCTTTAATGGGTTATGCTTTTGATAATGTATCTAAGAACTCTGACTAACCAAAGGTCACAAAGATTTTCTCCTGTAGTTTCTTCTGACACTTCTATAGTTTAGCTCTTAAGTTTTATGACTAATGTATGGCAAGGATCTAAATTCATCTTTTTTTATGTGGATGTTCAATTGTCCCAGCATCATTTGTTTAAAAGTCTGTTCTTTCCCTATTGAATTGTCTTGGTGCCTTTACCTAAAATAAATGCACTATAAATGTAGGGAATTATTTCTGGGCTCTATTCTATTCCATTAATCTATATGTCTGTTCTTATGTCAGTACCATACTCTCTTGAATACTGTAGTTTTTAGTAAATTTTGAAATCAAGAAATATAAGTCCTCCAAATTTCTTTGTTTTTAAGATTGTTTTGGCTATTATGGGTCCCTTGCACTTCCATGTACATTTTAGGATCAGCTTATTCATTCTAGCAAAGTAGCATGCTAAGATTTTGATAGGTATAGCATTGATTCTGATGATCAATTTAATTTTCATCTTAAAAATATTGAATCTTAATTCATGAACATGGTATGTCTTTCTATTGAGATCTTTAGTTCTCTGAGAAATGTTTTACTTTTAATATACAAGCCTGCACTCCTTTTACTAAATTTATTCTAGGTGTTTTGTTCTCTTTCATCTGGTTATGAAAGGTATTGTTTTCTTAAATTTGGCGGGGGATTGATTGCTGTTATGCAGCCATAAAAATGATTTTTGCATGTGGATCATGTATGCATGTGATTTTGATGAACCCACTTATTAGTTTTAGTATGTGTGTGCATGTGTGTGTGTGTGTGCGTATGTGTGTGTGTGCGTGTGTGTGTGTGTGTGTATAGGTTGTAGAAGATGCTTCTCCATAGAGAATGTTTCTACATAGAGGATGTTTCTGCCTAGAGGAGTTTACTATACTTCAACTCCTTTTACCTCTGTTCATTTAGTTATCCTTAAAGCCCTCAGTCTTCATTCTAATGCACAGATTGTTAAACACCAGGCCCTCCAATACTATTCTAAATCCTCACTGTTCTGTTTAGACTTCCCGGTGCTATGCATCTTCTCAGTAGCTCTGTGTCTTGCCTCATATTTCACAGAGATAATTAAGAATATCACAATGTGCAGATTTACTGTGAATGAAATAATGTTTAAGTTTCAGAACCCCTTACTCAGGACCCCCTTTCAAGGTTCTTGGAGGGCCCCCAGCAAAGTAAGATAGTTTGATAGTAATCGGTTAAAAATTCTGTCTTTTTCTACTCTGATTTCTCCTCTTTTACACTTCTAATATCAATATGCCATTGGAATAGTCATAAGCATTTGGGGGCTGTAAGGGAAAGAAGAGTTGGGAATACTCTGTTATAACTGCCATTTAGAAAGACATTTTAGAATGCTTCAATAGCACAATTAAGGAATTACAGACTAAAATTTTGGATGTTCATGAATTTTTTAAAATTAATGGAATAAAAGCAATAAAAATAAGCAATTTCTGCAATAGAAATTATTCTGGCATAAACAAATGGTAATTATGCTTTTTCATGTTACATCACAAGCAAATGAATTAAGAGAGATACTTTTTTCAATAAGAGCTCTTAGAGTATTTCATAATCCATTTAATGAAGAAGAGTTAATTATTTAAATACTTTGGAGAAATATTTAAGTTTCTTGCTGATTTGACAAAAACTACTAACATCACTGAATATAACATAAAAATCATTTTATACCACATCAAGGACATCTAAGATAAACTGGTTTATGAGTTTCATTCTTTTTCTTTTTAAGCCAATATTTTTAAATATATATATATATTTCAGAGAGAAAGGGAAAGGGAGGGAGTGATAGAAACAATGATGAGAGAGAATCATTGATTGGCTGCCTCCTGCACGCCCACTACTGGGGATTGAGCCTGCAACCTGGGCATGTGCCCTTGACTGGAATCGAACCCAGGATCCTTCAGTCCACAGGCCGATGCTCTATCCACTGAGCCAAACCGGCTAGGGTGCATTTCATTCTTTCAAAGATAATTTAAGACTAGTTATGTTCCAAAAAAACTTGAAATGCCAAAAATCTTATAATCATCTATGAAAATTTTTTGATAAGGATTTTTCCAAATATGACAGCAATTAGTATTTAAATGACATTATCAATAGTGAGCTATGAAGCTGAAAAAATTTTTCTAAACTATCAATAATAAAAAGCATGCCGAAACCGGTTTGGCTCAGTGGATAGAGCGTCAGCCTGCGGACTAAGAGGTCCCAGGTTCGATTCCGGTCAAGGGCATGTACCTGGGTTGCGGGCACATCCCCGGTGGGGGATGTGCAAGAGGCAGCTGATCGATGGTTCTCTCTCATTGATGTTTCTAACTCTCTCTATCTCTCTCCTTTCCTCTCTGTGAAAAATCAATAAAATATATTAAAAAAAAAAAAAAAAAAAGCTAAGAGCCATGCTAGAGGAAAGGCTGTATAATCTTTATATTTTCTCCATATAAAATATTATTATAAAATGGTTCTCATATGAAGAGGTACTTATAGAGCATGTAGCAAAAAATTATAGGCAAAAGTATTGTGGAACTGTTACTTATTAAAAAAATTACATTGTTTTTCCTTTATTTTGTGATATTAATGGAATTTATCAACTTAAAAATTCTTACTTTTAAATTTAATGATTTTTCTTATTCTATAACTAATTACACACTTTTAAACCTAATTTTGTACGTCATCGTTTTTTGTATTCTTTTTTTTTTTTTGAGAAAGCCCTCCCCCCACCCACCACCAATCATATAAGATTTAGGCCTCACAGAAATGAATCTGCTCTTAACTAAGAAGTTTGAATTGTCTGTTTCCTGCCTTTCTCCCGACAGAGGCACCTGCGTCCTCATCCAGTCTGTTCTGTATCACTCGAGAGCCTGTACATGGCCTGCTTCCAGCAGCTGCCTTACACCAGGCCCATTAGCCCCTTAACCTTGACGTGGTTCATAGCTCTCGTCTGCCTCTGCCCATTTCTGGCTCCACATTCAGGTTTCCCATCCTCACTTTTGGCTTTCTTCAGTTAGTGATCTATTTGGACTCTTTCTGTGCTTTTTTGAAATCAACTTCTCTCTCGGCTCCCAGCTCTGCCTGCTGATTGAGGCATCCCCTGTGGCTTCTGATCACTAGGTGGGCCTTAATTAACACCCAGAATCACACCACCCCTGTTCTTCCTGGCAAAAGCTAATCTTTTAGTCTCTGCTTTACATCGTCCTTTCTAGGACTTTGCACAAGAGATGAGTGCATCTCCTGTCTGTGTTTAGCCTATGTGACTGCACTCATACTGTGTCCAGCTGTGTACACACGTGCAGGTGTCCCCCATCCTAACACACCATTCTGCTCTGTGTCGTCCTCTTTCTCTTCTTGCTGCCTCAGTCAGTGTTGTCAGTTGTAGCTACTGCATAGCCCCCTGTTTACTCACTTCTGCTTTACTGTTCAGTTCTTTCCTACCTAATGCCTCTCTCTGAGATCACCTAATGCCCCCTTAATACCAGATACAATAGAGTCTCGTCTGCCTTTATCTGGGGCCTCAAACACTGGCCACTACTTTCTCCTTTAAATTGTCTTATCCCCCGTCTTTCCTGGTAGTATTATTTTGGTTTTCTTCTAACTCACTGGTTGTGCCTCCCGAGTCTCCTTTGAGGGATTCTTTTCTGCTTAAGTCCCATAAATGTTAGTGTTATCCATTGTTTTATCCTCAGCACTTCTTGCTTCT